ACTGACCCCAGCAGGGTTTAGAACACATAATGAAAGAACATCCAATGTGCTGGGCCTCCTCCCTGACTCCTTGTCCCACCTGACTAATTCTCACAACTGCACTTAGCTAATAGTCCTCCTTCTACTCTGAGAGATTTCCTTTCTTTTGCTTCCTTTCCTTTACTTTCTTAAAACTGTGGGGTTTGTCAAAATGCAGCCCGTCTTCTCAAATGCCCCGTCTCTACCCCAGCTCTGTACCATCTTCTGACCACAGTCCCGTTCCACGCCCTTCATTACGTTGTACCAGGCTAACGATAGTCTACAATATTCTTACTTTCTCTGAATTCCTCAAGTGCTGAGCCTGAACCACACAAGGAGCTTTCTGCACTGCGTGGGCTTGCACTATTCCACAGTGTGCTGCAATATTCCGTAGCTGCTTCGTGTGTGTGCAGTGCCCTGTTCTTTCCATGAGACGCTTATGTCTTTGATGGCAGGGCCCAGCCTTCTAGCCCTGTACTTGGTAGCCTAACCATATGGGGCACCACCGATCTCCTGAACTCAGGCTCCTTCGATTGGCTGCCAAGAGAATTGGGTGCTGGTCCTGCCTCAGTCACTGTGTGTCCCCACTCCCCTCTCTTGGGCCTCCTTCCTTGACCCCCCAGCAAAGTGAGATGGCTGGGACTAAAGCTCTCTCAGGTTCCAACCAGCTCATAACAAATGCCCAACAGGTGAATTACTGAGGAATTGATGGATGTCATCTCTGAACTCCAAATGAGAATAAAAGGAATATCCCTTCCCTCTGCCACCTTTGTAGGAGGGTCATCTGTGACGGCCCCTGAAGCCCTGGCTCCTTTGCCCCCAGGCGTCTGGTTAATAAACTTCCTGTTTCAGAAAGAAAAAGAAGAGGGAAGGGAGGGGACAGGATAGGGTCCCTTGTGAAACCCCCTCAAGGAGGCCATGAGTCCGGAAGGCCTAGGGCTAGGGAGGGGACCTTGGATCTCCCAGCAGCAGAGAGGGAGAGACTTTAGCTTTGGAGGGAAGAGGGGAGAACTGCCTAATGTGGAACGCTGGAGCCCCCAAAGCTGAGAAAAGACGGGTTGTAGATTCCATGGTACCTCCCAGCGGGCAGGACCTTGGCAGGGGGTGACCGAGGGGCTCCCTGTGGAGACCGGACATTGCACCTGGAGCCCCTCGATGAAGCCTGGAGACACCAGACAGGACGTGGATCTGGAGCCACAGCTCCTGAGGGCAGCAGCCGTCCACAGCAGGGGTAACACAGTGATCAGGACACACCGATGCTGCTGTCTCCACCTCGGGCGGGGTGGAGACACTGGCACTGGACATTGGCACTATGCCAAGGAAGTCAAGCCCCTCCCATTTCCCAGAAAACCACAAAAAGTGACTGAAGTCAGGCTTTTGCTGAAAAAGGTAAGTAGGAGCTCAGAGTAGATTTAGAAAAAAAAAGTGGCATTTGTCTTACCTCAGTTTTGTAGAGCAATTTGTGGACTTACTGGAGTTCCATGTGACATTCTTCAGCATAGGTGGGAGAAGGTCGTAAGTCTGCTAAGGCCTGGTCCCTGCAGGGTGCGGGAGCCTTCAGACTCCCGAATGAGATGTGCTTGGCGCGTTGGTAGGCAGATGTGCAAACTCACTAATAGCTGAAAAGGAAGCAGGCTGGAGGGACCAGGGTACTATTATTTGTGATGTGTGTGTACCTTTTATTACGTGCCAGGCACTGAACACCTCTTTTGCTTTACTCAGCAACACTGTTGGATACGAGCTGTCATGATTACCCCATTTCACAGATCAGGAAACCGAGGCACAGGGCATTTAATAACCTGTATGGTGTGCTCTGCCTCCCTGGAGCATGCCCACACCGTTCTTCCCTCACAGGCGTGCATCCCCGAAACTCTAAGGGTCCCCACGAGACATGCCACCAGGGGGGCAGCGGGCAGCGGCCGCTCGTCCTGGGCTCACCCCCGAACCTGTCTCCAAGGCCCCCTTCTCTCTGACTCTGTACGAGCCAAAGCAGCCCGGCTCAGGCTCTCCTGTTGCTTCCTCTATCCTAAGCCCTTCCTGGCTTCACGTCCCCACTGTGATAACTGTATTCTCAAACTCAAAAGAAGAAAACAACAATGCAAACCACTCATAAAAGGCTGAGGTGGCATTGTGAGCCAAGGCGTCACACGGAGGTGCCAGACTACCAGCCAATGCCACCTGGAGCTCAAATATAACATGCACAGTCTCCTCCCTTTGCCATGCGGGGTGAGGGGGTTTGGCTCGGGATAGAGGACAGCGGGGTTCTGAGTGTGAACTTTGGCGCTGGCACCTTTCTGGGGCCAAGTCCTTATTTTGAGCCTGTTTCCTCTGCAAAGTAGGGCGGGAAATGCCTCGCAGAATTATGAGGAGGATTAAATGGACTAATGCGGTAAAGCGTTTAGCACAGCATCTGACATATATTAAATGCTCCTCAGTAAATGATATCTAAAATAACATAATGGCAATTGTAAAATAAAAACAGCAAAAAAACAGGTGCTAATGCTTTACTGCCTTGCTGCTCTCTCGCAGTAAGTAAATCCTTGGGACAGAAAGCTCAGCCTGGTAGGTAATTAAGTAGGTTCGGGAGGAGGAGTTGCCAGTTCTTCTCCTTCTGGAGGATCTTTGCAAAGTCAGGAGGAACCTGAGCCGGAGTTTCTGGATGGGAGGAAGTACAGGGCGCTCTACGTGCACTTGGCAGCGCCAGGCTCCTTATTTTTCCTTTCAGCTGCGTGAACACTCTAAACTGTACACACAGGTACAGATACACGTGCAGCTCTTAGAGACTGTGGCTTTCTCAGTTCCCAGGGGCCCTGGCTGCAGGAGAGTGAGTGTCCTGGCGGTGTTTCTGCTTACAGACACGAGTCTTGGCCGGGGTATGGGAAAGCAACTTCTTACATCACACACACTTTGTCACACTCACACCCAGCTCTGCTCACAGAAACTCCGCCCTGGGGTTTGCATCCTTTTCAAAGACATTTCCAGCTCAGTTCCAGTGGCTTCTGCATCTCATTACATCCTTGATAATTAGCTCCATCTCATTACACCCCGGCCCAGCTAGAACGGGACTAGTTATTTTCAGGTGGCGAGCCTCTTCCCACACCTTCGCACGGTCCCAGGCAGGCATCCCTGCCTTCGCCAAACGAGGACAACCGCTTCCAGCTGCGCGCAGTTCGTCCGCTGCCTTTTGCATCAGGTTACACGCTTACGAATTACGTGCGGCCTGTAACAATGGCGCCTGGTCGGGACAGAGCCAGGACCTGTGTGGCGCCCGGCCCTGCTTTGTTTCCTGGTCCTCCGTGCTTCGTCACCCTCCCTCCCTCCGATCACGCCCGGTGTGTGTGACACTCCTGCCACAGGAGGATGACCGTTCTCAGGCGTGCGTATTTCCACGCGCACTCTGCTTCTCAAGCAGAGCCCCATGGACCGGGGCGCTCCTTGTTTCCGTGCCCTGCCGGAGGGAGGCCGTTTGCTGCTCTGCACACATCTGCCCCCAGCGGAGTGCATCCAGCTCGCCCCGGGCCTGCCAGCCTCTGGGCTGTACCGGGAGGTTTCCACGCCCTGCTCCTGGGGAGGCAGCCACAGCTGCACCTCGGAGCGAGAATCCTGAAGACGATGGCCTGGGTCGGCTCAGAACCTGTGAGGCGGGAATCCACTTTTTTTTCCATCAACAAATGATCGAGGGTGAACTTCCAGGCTCAGTGCTAGCCGGGGAGGGAGCATTGGACCACGAGGTACACCCGGCGGAGCTTCCAGAAGGGCGGAGCTTGGGAGGCAGCGGCAGTGGGCGGGGCTGAGGACGTCTGGCCTCAGTCCTGGGAGACATCTCTCCCCAAGGAAACGAGGCTTTAGCAGACTGCGAAAGGAACACGGACTCCGGGAGGGCGGTGTCACGGTGGAGGTTGACTCTTCATCGAGTGAACGTATAAGCTCCGTGGTACAAGGGACTGTCTCTTTTGCGTGCCATTGCATGGATCCCGTGTCACCTGTGCTGTGACAGGCAATTATATTTTTTTGACTGACTGACTGAACGAATGTATTAGCGCCCAGACGTTCTGGGTTATGGCGTGACTGAGAATTATCAGGATTTAGTTGCCAGTTCAACCTGGCCATATTTGAGGTTTCCTTCCCAGGCTATCTGAAACACAGAGTAGTGACTGCCAGGCTGAGGACACATTCAGGCGAGGCTGAGGTCCCGGGGAGGGGCTGGGTGCCTGCGGTGAGGCCATGCGGCAGAGGGCAGGGTTCCAGGTGGGGGCCCGCAGGGGGCCTGGGCACCGCCTATCTCAAGGGTCTGGGCCGAGGGAGCTCAGGCCGGTCCTCACACTCTGTCCTAGTCCAGATATTGGACATTTAGTGTTTTCTGTAAAATAAAAGACACAGTTTTCACTTTCACCAATAACTTTATTAAAAGATTTGAGTATGTCAGCTCTCTCCCACTATTGGCTTCTAGTGGGTGGAGGCCAGGGGTGCTGCTAAATGTCTCCCAGTGCATCAGGCAGCCCCACCGCAGAGAACTGTTTGGCCGAAATGTCAGCAGCACCAGGAAACTTCCCAAACCGCGCCGACATGTTCAGTCAGCCACGGCAGCTTCTCCAACACACTGCAACACATCTTCTGTTGCATTTCAGTTGCATTTTGACTTTTCTTGAAATAATAAAGTATCATATGCCAAAAATGTTGTGTACTTTCTTCCATCTTCAATATTAAAGTGGACGCACAAAAATTCACGAATTTTGATGTTTTTTGTTTAAATGCACGCTGACGTGACAGCTGTCACAACACAATCTAACAAAACTGTTTCCAATGAAGTTAAAGACAACTAATAAGCACTACTAGAGCCGTCATACGGACTTCTGGGCCAACCCAGTAATGAGCATGTCCCCATTGTTTAGTATCAGCACGCACCTGCCAGCATCTGGCACGCATACGACCTCAGGGAGTATCTGCTGAGTAAAGAACACAAGAACGACAATACACGACACTTAAGCTTCTCAAACTTTTTTTAATGTTCTGGTTTTCCCACCAAGACCAGCACTGTGCAAACAAGGGTAAAGTTCTGGACCACCGGGGTGTGGGCAGTGACCATGTTGGGGGTCAGAGCCCTTCCCGCTCTCCCTTCCACATGTTTTCGGGGGTGTTGCGGTCAGCACACTGCTCTTTCCCGGGGCATATCGAGCACGGGCGGCAAGGGCGCTCAGAGACCTGGAGCAGTGGGCAGGCCCGGCGTGTGGGAGCAGCAAGTGCTCCCACCGGCCAACAGCGCTCCGGAAATGGACCTGGCTGGCGGGCACACAGAGGAGGAGTGTCAGGGCTGCCCGGGCCTCCCTGTGCTCTGCTGGGCAGACCTGGGCGGTTTCTAAGGTGAGGAAGGCCTTGGGGCTCCTGCAGAGGGTAAATGAGCATCTGAGAACCGGTCACACCCAGTGTTAACAGTGACGTGAAAAGTTCTCTAGCCATAATTTTCTCTTGGCAAGTACAGCAATAAAATCAAGAAGAAGATGGAATCACCTTTCATTCTTTCATTTTGGTCATTACTTTGATGGCTCTTGGTTTCGATACAGCAGAAATGAAAATGAAAAGGTAATAGACCAACTCATAACCCGTGGAGGAGCTACTGCATATAAAAACATCCCAGGGATTGACATGGAAGGACTTTTTTTTTTTTGGCCTGGCCTGAGGAGCTCCTGTTTTGGTTTGGGGAATTTGTGGAGAGCCCCGTCCAGCTGAGAAGCCATTCACTGGATCTTGGCAACAGAGAGAGAAAGCAATGCACATACACTTATTTCACTGAACTGTAAACTGACAAGGTCCAGAGAGTAAAAATCCTACTGTTCACGTAAGAGCAGTTTTGGGAAGAGACTGGGACTTCGTGGGCAGTCTCCTTTCCAGAGACGGCTGGGCGTCACTAACAGGCACTCGTTTCTTCCGGGTCCATGTTGACACGACCTTCCTCCTTGCCCCACCCTCGTCCATTTGGAATCCACGGCCTTAAATCAAAACGCTCCAGACTGCAAACTCCCTTTGGAGTTCATATGAAAAGCCACAACTAAAGAGAAAAAAACCCTTACATCTTCTCTCCACTAAAGCATTAGCGTAGAGGGAAAAAACTAAGGCAGCTCAGAATACATCAGTAACACATCAGGGAAAGAAATAAGTATGACTAAGTAAACAAAACTGACCACTCCCGCCCCCCCCCCAACCCCCCGCAGTGCCCCCTTTAAACCGTGGTTATCTTCTTATCCTTGGTGGCTTGCTTGATGGCGGCCTGCTCACAGATGATCTCCTTGAGCCGCTGCAGCCTCATGTTCTGGGTGGTCTGGTCCCCCACGCCCGTCTGACTGCGGTGCAGCAGGGTGAGGGCATGGATGTACTCCAGCTCCGTGTACTTCACGCCCTGGTCCACCACCAGGTTCAGGAGCTCGTCGGCCGTGTTGTACAACATCTCGTAGTACTGCCTGGAGAGAGAGAGACAGAGAGCACTGCTCAGCATCACCACCGCCAGACACTCACGTGTGGTTTCAGGGGCAGTGAATCTGCAGTTTTTAAGTTACCTGGTTTACTTATTCAGTCAACATTGACTGATCACTAGGCATTGTGCTGGGCTCTATGAATGTAATGGAGGACGAGACAGACCCGGTCTCTGTCCTCTTGGAAGTCACTGGAGCTCTCCCTGTGACGATACAGAGAAGACCCAGGGAGACCTCACATCTTTTAGAGTTCAATCAAGAATTTCTCCAAAGTTTGAATTTAACTCTGAAACAAAGGGAAGTGGGACACAGCACCAAGGAGGAGAGAAACGATAACCTGTCAGGCACTGCCAGCAGTTTTTATCTCATTCAGTTCTTCATCCGTCCACTCATTCCATGTGCGCTCTGAGGAACGCAGGGTTTCCTACTCCACAGAGTGGGATGATAACAGTCCCTGCCTCTTAGGGTTATTGGAAAAGTTAATGAATCTACATAAAGCACTCAGAATGGTGCCCAACACAGTCAGACGTGCTCTGTAAACATTAACTATTGTTGGAAATATAAGAATAATGAATTAAGAGTAATGCAGTAATGGTAATAGCAATACATAGTGATGAGCAAGATGTGGCCTCTTTCCTCAAATAGCTCAGAGACAAGTAGGAAAGGTAATGAAAAACAGAGAAATAATAATTGTGTCTCTGCCGACAAGTTTCCATGTGCTGTCACCTCCCCTCACTGCACCCGGCGTGCTCCTGTCCCTTATCTCAGACATGGAGGCTGAAAGCACAGCGGAGTTAGAGGGTTGGCCGGATGTCACCGACACGGTGAGTGGCTGTGCCGGGACAGGAACCCAGGTTCCTGACTCCCAGTCCAATACTCTTTTTTCACGGACACAGCCAAGAAGGACAGTGCGAACGCCACGAGGAGGTGTGCGCGCTGTGCGTTCACGGCAGAGGAAGAAGTCGCAGTGCGCAGAGGGCAGGGTGAAGGAGCCGGGAAGACTCCATGTGGGGTGGCATGCTGTCAGGCAGGGTTTCCGGGAGCAAATTTTGGATTTGGGGAAAGGGAAGGGCGGGAGTGAAGGCAGGGGGAGGAATCTGGTTGTGGGGGGACGGACGGGGCGGGGGGGGGGGGGTGTGCAGCTGAGTACCGGGGAGGCAGGCGGGGAAGGCAGTGAAGTGAAAGGGTAGAGTTGGACGGCAGGCCAGTGACGTCACTGAAGACGCTGAAGCTGAGTTGGGCCAGTAAAGGCCCTGTCTCCGTACCCACCCCCCCACACCGTCCTGAGGTTCTGTGGGGAGCAGAGGTGCCACTGTGAGTTGTTCTTCTGGAAGATTAGTGTGACCGAGGTTCGCAGAGTGTCTGGGAGGGACCACTTTGCCAGGACAGAGGGGAAGTGATGAGGCAGCGGGCCGGGACAGGCAGGGGGTGAAGGAGCCTTGCGGGTCTTCCAGGAGTCTTGTCCTGCTGGCCTTGGGCCTTGGGCCTTGGGCTTGTTTCTTCCTCATCGGGAACATCCCGAAAAACAGAATGTCCTGGGGCGGAGCTCAGCCACCCCCGGGGCTACAGCGGGACTGCGGTCGGTCAGAGCACCGGCGTCTTTCCACACGGCTCTCTCCTCTTCCCGCTCTGCCTGGCCTCGTTTTCCACTTAACACACTCTAGTTACTTTTTAGGCAGGAGAAATGATTCTGCCGTGTGAGTGCTCAGGAAGAGCGGCAGCAATGGGGGGCGTGCCCTAACTCTGCAGGCGTGCAAGTGGCTCCCGGCAGCGACTCGGCCTGCGCCCTGGCACTGTGTCCTCGTGGGGCCGACTGGGGGGGGTGGGTTGGGCTTCAGAGGCACGTTTGGTCCGACCCGTGGAGCTGCATCCTTCGGAGCCGTGAACCATCCTTTGGAGGTTACAAGGGTAACCTCCAGTGCAGACAGAGGTACGTCTGATAGAGGAGACGTGTGACCGTGGACCTCTGGAGGCCTGGGACCCAATCTCAGCTACAGTCAGGAGCCTTTCTGATGCTTTGCGTTAAGCATAAAACCTGTGCGAACGACTCCTACTCCACAGCAGATCTGCTGTGATTACAAAATCCCACCATTAAGGAAAAACAAAACAAACCCTGATGCTGAAGGAGGAGGCATCACATCGACCCGATGGTTTCACGTGCCCTCTGCACCTGTGGCTTCCCCCGTTTGGACAAACGAGGCCCTGCCTCAGCTACTTCTGGTTCCCTTCGGGGCACAGGTGACCAGAGACTGTTTGCAGAACTAAGCACCCATTTTAAAAAACGCTCAAGAAGGACCATGTTCACATCTAGATTCACCAAGTGGAACGAGAGAGCTTGGGGCCTGTGCTTCTTCCAAAGCCAGGAGGCGCCCGAGAGCTGCAATTCCCAACTGGAGCTCCTCAAACCACAGAGCCCCAGGGAACTTGGGAAAAGCACAAGGCCCCGAGGCCCCGCCCAGATCCTCTCACTCCGGAGGGTCTGAAGCAAGGAGGAGTCTGAGCCGATGGAGTCTGAGGGGCATGGGAAAGCATGCAGAGCCATTCCCACCTCCTTGAGCCAAGGACCTAAAAGCATTAGGGAAGGAGACAGAAGCAATAAGTGGGCTATAATGCTTTTCAATGAGATTAAACCAAAAGAATTGAGTTACTGTGTATTATGATGCTGATATTTTCATCATTTATCTTAAGAAGTAGCATTGAACCCATCAGATCAGATTAAATGGGATTTCTCTCGGAAAAAAATCAGATGACTTGTTTCCAGGGGTAAACAGCTGGTTTTCCACAGAGACTGCTGGTCCCCGCCGGGCACCAAGGACAAAAGAGAGATGCCTGGATTTCCAGTCCTGAGTCCCCCGGTGTGATAAGGGACAAAGGCATGCCACTGAAGTCCGCAATGCTTCCATGTCCTCTGTGCAGCGCAGACCGTCACAAATCCCGGGATGACACTCGGAGGGACTGAGAGACTAGCAGCGTCCTCATGAGCCTGGATGAGCAAGGCCCCGGGGTCGCAAGGCTGAGTTACCAAACGAAACTGGCAGCTAACTGATGGTGTGTTCTCTACGGTTAGGGGCAAAAAATCCCCATAACCATAAAGACATATTAGATCATAAAGAAACATAAATATTTAAAGACAATGAAACTCATTCATCTTTCAGAACAGTTCCCAGCTGCAAAGGCTACACTAAACCACAACAGCGACCGAGATGCTTGGAGGTGGAGGAAGGCCGTGTGGGGGGCCCCACGGAGAAGAGGGGCAAGTGCCCCAAACCAGACCATTACACGAGCTTCCGTGACAAACACTGGCACGCTGACATGGAGTCACGTACCCCAACTGGGATAGATAATCGATCAGCACTTACGGAGGCCTCGGGGCAGCGGAAGCCTGACCTTCACCATCAGGCACTGCCACCGCAGCCGCGGCCTCCTGGCACCCGTGTCACGGTAGACAGCACCTGCCTTGGCTGCGGGATGGGGCCGGTGAACACGCACTCAGGTTAGACCCTTTCTGGGGCACAGCCCGTGCAGCCAGTCTCTCCTTAGCCCCTAACGTCAACGGGCCGGCTGCTACACGTGGCCGGAGAGCCTACTCTGGAACCCAGCGCCATGCCACCCCGCCGGGCGGGCACTTTGTGAGAGGCGGTCTCCTCTGCGGCTCCTCTCACCCTTGGGCACACGTTAACACGAGCGGTATCTCACTCTGAGCAGCTCTAACATAACGGGCCCTTCGGTGTAGGCGCTGCAGTCACCGTGACTCTCCGACGGGCCAGCCAGGCGTTAGAGGATGTGAGGGACTTGTCTCAGGCCTCAACAGGAGGGACTCTGAGCCCTGGACTCACGCCAAAGCCACGAGAATACAGCAATATCTACAACTGTACAAAGCAAAAGTACTAATTTCGAAGAATACTTGTATAGCTAATTCGTTTTTACTCATGATTTAGGAAATATGAATTTAATAAAGTTCACATACTGACTCAACTCTCTCTGCCTTCCACTGTACTGAAACCAGCTAGTGTTGTGGCAATTCCAGATTCATGGATGCCCTTTGCAGTTATATATCTGAACAGCAGTGGGTCTGATCTGGGAATTCAGTGCTCTAGGCCGAACACAGAAGTCACGCCGTAATTTCGGCATTCAGGAATTCCAGGGAAGCTTTTCGGCTTTCTCACTCATTCTGTCGCCTCTCTTTATTTCTCCCTTTTTGTTCCTCCAAGCTAGTAATGGACAAGGTGACCTTTCTTTCCAAAAGTTGGCTGCCCTTCTGACTCATGACTTCCTCGAGGAAGGGAGATAATTAAGTAATTTCATTGTGCAGACTTTCTCATCTAGCCCTTCCTGAGATAAAGATAGTATTAATATCAACAAGAGAATTAGGCTCTGAAGCTGACTTCTTTAAATGTAAGTTTCAAAGGAAGAAAAATTCACCTGAATATAGCTTAGCATTAACCTTACTTAGCTCCCCCCACTTCTCTCAGCCAACAGCCGCAGCATTCTGAGCTCTTAAATAAAGCCCAGTAGCAGATGGGTCACTAAATCGTCAGATAAAACACTGGACTCCTGTTTTCTTGCTCACTCAATAGTACATATGCTAATAAGCAGGGAAATGGAAAGGGAGAAAAGAAAGGAACTGAATAATCTATGCACTAGATAATCATCCCATAAATAATTGAGAGGTAGTTACAGCGGCAAGACTTAGAGAAGTAAATAAATACTCGAGAGACCAACTAAACTCAGACTCTAGTTGTCTGTCCTTCCCCTCCTCCCCCAAACAGCTGTGCGACCTTGGGTAAACTCGGTCAGCTCTTTGAACCTCTGCTTCCCGTGTGAGACCCAAGTTACAGCAGATGCCGCTTCTGCACTGGGTTTTGGATGGAAAAACCTCTACGGCCTCCTCTGCCTGGTCCTTTAAAAGCACGGGCTTCCGCCAGAATCGGCTGGTGCTGATGGTGCCCGAGCCGTCACTGCGAGAGGCGGCAGTGACCGACTTCAGA